ACAAGCAACGTGGTGGTCGTGAGCAAAGCGTGCCTCGGCGCACGAAAAGGGAAGATCGCGTCCAATTCTCTCTTACCGTGCCTGCCACATTGACGCCAAGTTTAGAGAAANATTGCCCTCAACCTGGGGGCACGCAGATAGCTAAGTCCCGATGGGGTACGTCCTAAGAGGGTATACCTCCTGACGTCCCCCATCTTAATCTAGACCGACTGTGTACCCTATCTGTGCCAAACAGCAACACTCCTTAACATACATATATGTTGGGGGCGCAATGCAGCAGTGTTTTGCGCCACGTGTCAATCGCGGGTAGTTTGAGCTGAAGTCTTGCGTTGTAACCACACTGGTATGTTATCGCACAGACACAGTCCCAAAATCGATCTTCCGCGCATTTGGGCTGCAGTGCAGCATGTTGAAGTTGCGCCGCCGCAAGAAAATGGTGCAGCCGTTCCGTGGCTGAGAAGCGCCAGCAGATGGTCGGTGATGGCGGATTGGCCAGTTCCTCCTGGCTGAAACGGCGTTTTGCTTTGATGTTGGTCGGTCGCCAATACGTGCGATACGGCTTTTCTACTTCACGGGACCCTTTTTCTATTTCACGGGACCACGTCTCTCGCTCACGGATCCCCTGAAGGAGTCCCGTGGGTGAAAAAAGGGGTTCCGTAGGTTCATTGATACGCACAGGTATCGTCGTTATTTTCTCGACACGGTTGGCGCATTGTATCGAACCTTATTTCCGGAACAATCTTCAACACTGATGAAAAGTGTCCCCAAAACACGTGGGGGCACTTTTCATACCGAAGCCACGTCAGCACAGTGTGCCAGTACCAGGCGATGTACAGTTTTACGACCTAGGGGACACGCGGCTTGAGAGATGGTGTACAGCAAGTTAGAGGCCGAGGAGAGGCATCATACAGCATATCACACAGGGTACCACCTCACTCAGCGAAGCATGATAGACTAAGGGTCCTTACGTGCGTCTAATACAGCGGAGCCTAGGGTGACTACGGTGCTTAAAATGGGCATTTGATTGCTGTGTCCCAAATTGTCCTCATTTGGGCTTCCAGTACTGGGAGGGTTAAGCCCAGAGGAATAGCGTGCTTTGTCGCTGGGGACAGGGCCTTCTTCGCAGCCCTTGTTAGAGGGGACTGGCAGCACTTAATGCACGGTGCCACGGCGCCCCTCTCCCCCTACCTCCAACGCTCAACCCAACGACCAACGCCCTGCAACGTCTCAACGCCCCAAAAACCTCCAGCATTGTGACCGCCCGCGCCTGCAAGGCCTGGCCTTGTCCCTGACCAATACCATACATCGGTTACAGGTTTGAACCCACCACTAACCAAAGCCAGTCTTTGTTTGTTCCTCATAAAAATCTTGTTGTATCGACGAAAGCAGGAAGCTCCCCGTCGAAGTCAAGTAGCACCGTGGCCGGTATCGACATTCCCAAACGATTGTCCCTCGCCGAGTTTGGGGGCGACACATTCAAACTTGTTGCGCAAGGCAGAACGCCAGAGCAGTGGGCCAACTGGCTGCGGGTGCCGCTGGAGCATGCCGCTGAGGCGGGAAATCTCGACCTCTTCAATGCGTTGATCGGAGCCGGAGGTGACGGAAGCGCCGGGTGGAGGGGGTGCGACGGCCGCACCCTGCTCGATGCGGCTGTTATTGGTGGGAGCGAGGACCTGGTAGCTGCCTTGTTTCTAGCTGGAGCCAAGCCAGATGTCAACGTGGTGTCTGCTTGTTGCAATACCTCGGCCTTGTTCCTGGCAACAGACTGCCACGAAGGGGTAGCGAGACGGCTGGTTCTGGCCGGAGCGAACGTGCACTTTCGGGACTCTGACAGGCAGCAGGATGTCCTGGCTGCGGCCATTAGTAGCAAGTGCGAGCAGCTCGTGTCCAATTTGCTGATAGCCGGGGCGAATCCGAACACGCGTGGTTTGGGCGGCAGTAAACCCCTCCGGGAGGCGGCGGTCACTGGACAGGAGGGGATGGTGCGAGTTCTCTTGGCCGGCGGGGCGGACAAGGACGCGCTTGATGACCAGGGCGAATCGGCACTGACAGCCGCAGCCCATAGACGCCACCTAGCTGTTGTGGATTCTCTGTTTGCAGCCGGTGCCGATAGCAACATATGCGGAGGTCGTGCTCACACGGCGCTGACGGCAGCCGCTCCGAGGGACTTTCTTGATATTCTTAAAGCCACACTTGCGCGAGAAGCGGATGCGAATGCTGTTGCAGGTCATGAGCAAACATCCCTCCATGTCGCTGCCTCTGTGGGTGGAGACCGGGCAATTGACGCGCTACGGGAAGGAGGCGACGTCGATCGGAAGACGTACGGAAACACACCTCTGCATATGGCCGCAGGATCTCTGCGCAGAAGAACCATGCGTACTCTATTGCGCCATGGAGCCAATGTGGAAGCGCGAACGGGCAGCGATTAGTTTACTCCACTGCACCTGGTTTGCCGGACACAAACTAGACGCACGGAGGCAGCTGCGGATTTCTTGCTGCAGTGGGGAGCGGACGAAACGGCCTTGGACCATGACGGAAAGACTCCAGCAGACATGCTCGATGCTGATGTGTTCCACGAGGTATGTCCTCGTTCTTTGCAAGACGAGATCGACCGCGTCCGGTTGCTGTTGGCTCGTGCTCCGGCAGACAGGGCCTGGCGTCGTCGAGGCTGGTTGGTGATGCTTCCCTCGCGCGCTTCGATGGCAGAAACGCCAAGCCGCAAGGGAGCCCGTAAGGACAGCAGTGCTGATGGCCGAAGAGGTGGCCGAGGCCGGAAGGTGACGAGGAGTGAGCGCGATAGAGAGAGTGAACCTCATGTGCCTACCGCGGCGAGCAGAGGCGTCGGTGTCGCCGGAGTCGATCGAGGGGATGGGGACTTGGGCGGTCTGGTGTGGTCTCTGGTTGGGTTGGAGCTAGGGGACGTGTTTCGCGCGGTCGTGGAGTTTCTGTGAGGAGGGGTGCCCACAAAGTTGGCGTCGTGGTAAGTTCTCGTCTAACGTCGACTAAGCGCTTGGTGTTGATTGAATTTACTTGGTCTATTTCGAGCGTCGTTCCAGGTTCTCTCCGCAGAGAAAAGGTTTATGGGCAGAGCCAACACCTTGAAGCCACCATTGGTGGCGTTTTTGTTCCGACAAATGTAGTTCTGTTGGCCTTCCACCCCCCTCGGTTGTTTTTGTCTCCAATTCCAATTTTCCGTCAAACGGTATTATACACCAACCGAAATTCTCGATACTGTACCGTTCATTCTGTGATACGTGAGAGTCATCGACCGTGCCTTCGCTTCGGGTTGTGATTTACAAGGCACCCCCGGTCTGTCTCCACCCCCCCCCCGGTGTTTGCCGTCGGGGTTGGGTTTTCGTCGCTTGGCAACGACGTTGTAAAACAAGCCAATTCACTTCGTGAACTCGGCAACCAGGTTACCGTTTTTTTTTTTTTACCTCTGTTTTTTTTTTTNCCCCCCCGGTCTGTCTCCGTCGCGTCCGCGCGCATCGTTGATGACGACAGCAAATGCATCAAACGGCGATAGCCTGTCCTCCTTCTCCCCTCGCGTCTCCGCCGCTGCACGTCTGGAGCGTATTTTGGCCAGGACAGATGAGGAATGCGGGCGCGTCAAGAAGCACCTTAGACCCGTGATCACTTGGTCTAGGCCAATCTGGTACAAAACGAGGATTGGTACCATTCAAACAATGTGGAACGGGGAGTTACTGTTGAAGTACGTTCGTTCGAATCTAGTTTTCGGTGGCAACGACATGAGTGGGTAGGATAACTTGTATGTGGTGGAGAGCTCTCCCACTGCTGTTTGTGGCTCTTGTGTGTTTTTGCGCCATGCACCGTGACAGTTTCGGCGTTGGGAGTGTAAGTAATGATTTGGCCGTCAGGAAGTGGCCCAGCCGATATTTGATGCCACAGCTGGCAGAAATGAATTTCCTTCTCTTTGAATTTTTGTGGAGGGACATGATTTGGTCCAGCTTGTTCCTGCTGATGGGCTATGTTTCTCGTTTGCCTCCTTTCGCCTTGGTCTTGACACATGGAAATGAAGTGAGGGGTCTTGACACATCGTGCAAGGCATAGGCTTTGTAGCCCACGATGCGTGGCAAGCCTGGTTCACGACAACAGGGAATTAGACCCCTTGTTGACCCATGGTTACGAAAGGCAGCTACGGGCTGGAATTACGGTCCAGACGGTATGGCACGAAACGCTGTGAAGTTTGGACCGCCACCCGCTCAGTTGTCATCCTGCTCTCTCTCTGCTTACCTATTTAGTCCTCCCCACGTCTCACTGATTTGTGGTTCTGACTGCAAATTACGACTCATCATGCCTGCCAGGACGTGGGAAAGGAAATCCATGTTTAGCTTATGGTATGCATACATGTTCGGTCGCCCCGGTGGTCAATAACATCGATAGTTACCGCCTTGTTCATCTACTAGTCGCAGATTGGGGTTTGATTCTCTCGCTGGAGTGAAAGACACTTTGCGATGTGCCGTGAAAAACAAGTAATTCGTGAGTCTGACAAAGATCGCATGTTCTCCGATAGAAAAAATCCTCAATTGCAAATTGGGGTTTTTGTCGCGACTAGAGCAACGTGGGCTAACAGTGTTGCCTCCTGAGGTTCCGTTGCGTCCTGTTCGACGAGCTTCCACGACCTTGGATGGAACGGACAAAACCAGCTCATCTTTCCCTTTTTTGGTGGCCGGCAGACAGCAGCGCCCAACCACTCGAAGCACTCGAGGCATCCGGAGAAGAGTCCACGTTTATTTGCGCTGTCCTCTTGTTGGGACAGTTGTCTCTCTGCTGTCCCCACCTGTACACGCATGCAACTCGCGCGAAGCTCAGTTTGGTAACACTGCGGGAGCTGCCGATCGTGACCCGACTAAAAACGATGAGATGATCATCATTCAATGAAAATAGGGCTATATGTGTCCGTATCCCCGAGGTCAATGTCGCCAAAACACCTAGCGCAAACGACAATCTCTTCTCTGAATTGACCACATGCTCAGGAGACGAATTCCAGCGGGGGTGCCGTGTACTTGCGTCTACAACAGGGCGCTATTGAACGAAAGCCCTCAGCGATCTCTGAACCCTCCCCCACGATCCGCCGAAGCCAAAGATAAGAAAATGGAAGGCTTCCCCGCCTTCGGCACAGAACACATCAACCTCGTGACCAATCCTGACTCTGACGCCGCAACCCTGCCAAAGACATGAATGCACACCCTGGATACCAAGAGTGTTTGTTACATTTAGCAGCGTGGGTCCCTCCCTCCCTCCCTCCCTCATGACAGGGCCCAGGCCTTCACCCGTATCGCCCGCTGCTGCTGCCGACCGTGCGCCAACGCCTCCCTCTCCCCACATCAAACTCCTCCTCATCTTCGTCTTCGGTCTCTCCATCTTCTCCCAGCCCCGGCCCCTGTCCCTCCAATTCACCAAGGTCGAGACCGCCGTATTGCCCCTGCTGCGCCTCGCCCGACAGCCAATCCAGAATAGAGGAGGCCGCTCCCATCTCGAGGAAGGTCTTGCCGTGCCCGCCCCGCACTCCCGCGCGGCCGCCCCACTTGACCCCGTTCAGGTCGTCCGCCTTGCGCAGGAGCGCCGAGAGCGACTGTTTTGGGGGGGGGAGCGGCACAGGGATTCTCATGGGTGGTTGTAATGATGGTCATCTCGAGTATGCGTAAGAAAAGCCACCGTTGCCACTCAACAGGAAAATAGAAACACAAGACGTGGGCTTCAGAGGGCGTAGACAGGAGGAAGGCGGATCAAAAACGGGGGGTGGAAAGAGAGGGTGCAGCGAGAAATTTGACGCAAAAGCAGTTGAAATCGAATCAACGATACCTTTCAAAGGGGCGGAATTGGCGTCAGGCACGAACGGCCCGAAGACACTCGGCTCCGTTGTAAATGTGTTCTGGGGATTCGCTCTTCACCAACGCAAACCTCGTTCTCCGAGGAAATGGGACAGCGTTCCTACTATTTACTGCTTATGCCGACCACCGACCAAAGTCTCCTGCCTCCACATGTCGCGAAAGAAGCGCGCGGTCCACGTGAGTAGTCCCTGCATTGTCGCCGTCACAAGTGGGGAGGCGAGTATCACGAGATTTGGTCCCACTGCAATACCACGCTACTCTCTCCTTTGAAGCACACCTCGAATTCGTTCTCGGAGAAGTTGAGGCAGCGCTTCTTCTCCTTTTTGCTCGTCTGCGGGCCCCCCTCCCCGCGGAAGTTCTCCGGCTCCAGCCCACTGTCCCCTCTGATCTTCGCCGACACCTTGCTCACCAGGTACAGCTTGTAGTGCGTCAAGCTGCAAAAAAAAACGAGAGGGCAAACGAGGAACAGAAAACCGCATGCTTACGCGTGGCATCACAAGCAGCCGACGACAGGGACGGGGGGAGCACAGCAGGCTGCGGGATAACGTGCGTCACAACAGTCACGACAGCGACTACGCCACAAACACATCGAAAAGGGGGATGTACTCATAGTCGTGCATGCCGTAGTCGTTAGACCATTGACCTCGCATCCCTACAAACCCGGGACGGAGCACGCCGGGTTCTCACCGGACCAGGCTCTCACATCACCAAGCGCGAAGCGCCATGAGATATTCGGCGAGTCGCATGAAGGGTGCGCTGCATCCTGCTAAGGGTGTTCGGCATCTTATGCTTACTTCCTCGCGTACGGATGACAGCTGCGTAGGCTTACTCTATTTTCTGGTGCTTTCACTTCCAGAGACAGTTGTAAGCACTGTGTAACTGCCTCGATGGTGCTTGACCATTTTCACACAACGTCGTGCGATCATCCCCCTTGCGCGGAGCGAGGCTTCTCCACCCCGCACAACATGATCCACTCAACCACCATTATGGTTACCGCCAAAAAAAAATAAGAGGTTAAAAAATAACGGTAACCTGGTTGCCGAGCTCACGAAGTGAATTGGCTCGTTTTACAATGTCGTTGCCAAGCGACGAAAACCCAATCCCGATGGCAAACACATCGACAAGGGGAGGATGAAATGCAACGTTTCGGTTGCTCGTCCCCCGAGTAGCACATGGTCCGGGCTTGGGGAAAGCTGGGCACAAAGGCCGTGAAGACGATAAGTGGCTTTTGCATCGAAGCATAAACGTCCTACATGTTAGATTGCGACCAAGCGCCGCACCAGCGTTGCAAATAACCCGAAGTTCTTCGCAAACTTGTTCAGGGGAGAGTGAACGGGGGGATGGGGCGTCCGAGGTGGGGAGTGATTGCAAGCGTCCAAAGTGGTACAAACAACAGCGAAGAAATCAAATCGAATGGGGTGGGTCATACATACACGAAAAGGTGCACGGCAATGAAGGCTGGCACTCTAAACGAAAGAAAGACAATGCCAAGAATGGCGCTACGCAGGCGAACCGGTTCCATTCTGGAAAAGGGTTGTAACGTGCGGCTGCGACGCTGTCTGTCCGACTTTCGAGGCACCTGTGGAACAAGTGAGACTTGTGCTTGCACGTGTCTCCTAGGTAGTGCGTTGCCTTGGCCTCCTGCTTGTGCCGCCGGTCGACAAAATTAGAGGAAGAACGGAAGACACGCGGACCAACAAAAGAGAAACCAAGTAAGAACACATGGCAAGTGAGGGAGGGCGGCAGAGGCGCGCACGCTGGGTCAAGGGGTCAACACGAGCTACATTCTTTGTTCCCCGAAGAATTGCCGAGACCATCCCACAAGTTCTTGGTCGAGTCGCAAACTATGTTGACACGGATGGAAGCGCTACGCCCTGAAAGAAGTGCCTGGGTGGACTTCCAGAACGCACAGAAAACTACCGCAACGTCACACGTAAGCCCAAACATAAATTTCTGTGGCCAGATAGCGCTGACCGCAAAGTACGCTCACCAATGAAAACTCTCGTACCTGTTTCGCAACGGCCGCGGCGTCGGGGTCATCCCAGTGCTCCGGAAGGTGCTTGTCCCATCGAAGCCCGTCCCATACCTTCCGAAATGGCACAAGCGGGCATGTCAAACACGAACAGCACAAACAAACGCTACGCATTAGGGAGCCTTCACTTCTCTACTCCAGCTCCTGGACAAGCCCGGTCAACACATGTTTCAGAATACACCGAGCAGCGGGAAAATTGAAACGCGCAGGGTGGACATACCCACGGAGAAGAATTAGTCACCTTCGACATAAATGCCTAGACCTTGTCTGTGGAACCACTAGATCATGTACGAGAACACGCCCACGCTGGCAGATGCTTGCAACGCCGAAGCACGAAAACCAGGCATTTGTCATAGCTATCTCACCCTGTTCGGGTCGTACTCTGAGCCAGAGAGAAAGGCAATAACGCTAGTCCGGTTGGAGCGGTTACATGCGCTGCAGCGATCGTTCAGTCTGCACAAGTCGCCGTCGACGTGGTGGTAGCCGTAGTGGGGGTACCGCATGATGGTGTCCCTGCGTTTTTGGTGTCGAAGATGGTTGGAGAGAGAAAGTGATACAAAGGTGAAACGGATGGCGTACGTAAACGCTGTCGATGAACACCGTCTTTAGAACATGTAGGGACGACCACGAGCAAACAACAACAACAACAACAACAACAACAACAACAACAACAACAATGGAGGAGGCAAGTGATTTCTGAAGGAAGCTTTTCACTCCTCACGTCTTTGGGTGTTGACCCCAGGTCTTTTCGGAGAGGCGTCCTCGTGCTGACATTCAGCTTTCATTGGCCTTGGAGACGTCAGTCAAGCTCAACGACACGGTTGCACAGTGAAAACGAGAAATTTTCACAGGGAAAAATAGAACGGAGCTCCAAATGGCAGTCAAACAAGGACCACACCATGATGAACGACGCCAGTGGCACGAATCACAGATACGACATCCTGACCAAACCATCGATTGGGAGGACATGTGCAACTGCACCGACACGGGGTTCGCTCTGAGCGATAAACAAAGAACGACTGGAATCCCTAACGCCACCAAGAAGCCTCACAGAGTCTGGCACAACTGCGGCGAATAACCGTGTAAGCATAGAACCGATACATACGAAGCGTGGTGGACGGAAACCCGCGGATTTTATTTCCTCGGTGATAACGCTGTCAGACAAAAAACACGATAGGTCCACTTCCTAAGCCAACATGGCAATTTCAACGCAAAACATTCTACTTTCATCATCCCCAATCGGCTGAGATCTTGGATCGGGCTTGTTTGGAAACAAAAACAAAACACACGTCCCACCAAGAACAAAAGTACGGCGAGGCAACTTACCGGAAGTCTTGCCGCCAAGAACCGCAGAGGCTCTCGCCGCTGATGCGCAGCTGCGTCGAACACCCGCACAGAAACGAACAGACAAGAGAGTGGATGACAAGAAAGAACGACAAACAGTGGTGACGGGACCTGCCTTTCTTTCCGCCAACACATTGTTAGCCACACTGCGCCCTCCCCCTCTCCAAAGGCTGACGTCGAGGGGCCACTCTACCCCTAACCCGCTCATTCGGAAACCTGCTTTCGAGACAAATTCCTCAAGTACAACAAGCAACACGAAACGCGTTATACTCCTCAACCTGCGACAATTGAGCCACACATACGCAACGATATGCTTCCGCGCCCCCCACTTCTCCGCCTCACGTCAAAAGATGACCCCCGACTCCCCTCGGATACCTTTTTCTCGACCATCTCCTTCGCCTTCCCGTAGCGGGCGTGCTCGGGAATCCGGGGCTGCGCGACGTACTTCTTCATGAATGCTTCGCCGGCCCCGTCTCCTGGGAAGAAAACAAAAACGCAAGGCAGAAGCACCAACGCTTCGGTTACGCGTTGAATCGGGGTCACTGCAGGTTCAGGGCCCGGCGTACAAAGTGATGCATGTCGTCGGTAGGCAGTGCTAGTCGCCGAAGCGCATGCCGCAATTTGTGCTAAGCTTCAGTAGGAAGTGCATTCGAGTACGTGAAATGGTCAGGTGGGCGCGTTCTTTGCCGTAAACTGCCGTGGAGGTAACCCAGGATGTGAGACGCAAGCTGCAAGCCTACTACTTACATTGCTGTGTTTGCTCCTACAAGAGCGTCAAAACTTCCGCCGTTCGAGAATCTCTCCGATTTGGATTTAACACGAACCTTGGTCATGATCATCATGTGTCACAACTTCCACTAACGACGTACTTGTCTCCAAGACAGCGAGCGAGACACATTGGCGGCGGCAAAGGGAAGACTAAAGCAACAACACCAAGGCCGACGTGTTCTTGTTTCCAGGCGAAAGACAGCTCCCACAACGAAAACGCAATAGTCAACGTCACCTTGAGTAGCTTTAGCGATGTATTCCACGTAGAACAAGAAGGCTTCCTTGAACGTCATCGTTCCCACACTGATACCGACCGCGCGGGGGAGGAGCATGACGGACACGAAGATCACGATGAGCACGACGCAGACCCCGCCTCATGGACGAATCGCGCAACCCATGTCAACCACCGAAACGCACCAAGGTGGACCAATACCGCCTCCCAAAAGAAGAGATTAAACAACACCGGAGTACGAAAATCGACGAAACCCGGGCCGACGGAGCGAATGATGAAACACGAGACTATGATTGCCAAGGAACTGCGGTGGGAGAATGGCATAGTGCGGGAGTCGGAAGCAGGCAGATCACGGCCATCGTCTATTATAGTATTCGTAGCTAGTATCGATTGTAGATGGGGCGACAACCGAGATTGCGCACCTGAAGGAACCCACATCCTGTTTCGAGAGGACTGCGTTTTTCGACGGCATCGCGCCGTTAACGGCAACATGGGGAAACGAATATATTGGAGAAAATGACAAACTCACACAACCTTTTGGCGGCTACTCCGAGGGGAACAATTGTAGCAGAGACAAGCACAAGCCCACGACATAGAAACCGCACACTCTTGAAAAGAAGAGAAGCCTCAGACGTCTTGGCCTTACGAGAGCACGGAGTTGGTAGACAAAATTCTCAGAGGGGAACGACCACGGCGTGTGCCGTGAAAGCGTCAACAATGACTTCGTTTCGAGGGAAAAAAAAAAAAAAAACGGGTGCTCACGAGAGCGAAGAAACGCCTCCATCCTCCGACTGCTCCATCTCGTTGAAAAAGGCCGCGTGCGAGAAAAAGGCGTCGCCCCCGTCTTCCCCCTCGTCATCATCGTCGTCCTCATCGTCGATGAAATTGTCTTCATCCTCATCTTCGGGCTCCTGGAAGACGGCAACCAATGTTGTTTTGGTGTCGGAAGCAACTTGTGACTGACGGCATCGTCATCTTTGACTGGCGGTACGGTAATCTGTGAGGAAACGGTCATCTTTGCCCGCTTGGAGAGTGCCGGCGTACAGGCTGCTGGGTCTCAAGCTTGTGTCCATGCCATCATGCAAGCCTCGTAGACTATCATCCGTAGAGTGTAACGTTACAAGTCGCGAGAGTTGTTGTCATCTACAGCCCTCCACTGCAACTGCTGCGTGGACGCGTTTGCTAGCGCACGCGCAGGCAGAACTTGACCGCACTGCCATTCGGACGTGAGGTCTCGCCGGCATCCAAAATGGTGAGGGATTCCGCATCAACTGCTCGAGCAAGGCCCAGCCAGCGCGGAAGCGGTGTCGTAGAAAGCGGAAATCGAAAACATCGTGTAGGGAAAACAAAACACATGCTCACAGGCCGTATGAATGAAACATGAGCATGGTATTTGGTGAGCTGCTTTGGGCGACCAGCAGTGTGTACCGAGGCTGCCGACGAAAACAATTCTGCTGTATGTGCTCTTCAAATTCCAGCGTTGTTCAACAACCCACCTAGTTGCCAGGGCACTCGACACCAACTCGACAAAAAGGTAATCTCACGTTGTATCGGTGGTTCCTCTTGCGCCCCATGCGCTTGCTCCCGCTCCCGCCCTTCTCCGACCTGGACCGCTTGGCACGTCCTCCCGATCCGGTCGAACCAACCGCTTCGCTCTCCTCCTCCTCCTCCTCCTCCTCCTCCTCGTCCTCGTCGTCTTGTATCGTTACGGCGAAACTGTCGTCCTCGTCGATATCTTCGTCCGTCGCGCATTTATTCCCGGGCTTCTTGCCGTCCAACTCTCCGTCACTCTCGTCGTCGTCGTCGTCGTCGTCGTCGTCGTTGTCCCACCCGCTTTCGTCCTCTCCGCCGCCACCGCCACCGGTGCCGTCTGCTTCTTCCGAGGCGCTGGTCCCGTTGCCGTGCAGCATCTCGCGGTAGTTGACCATGGATCTCCGCCTCCTGGTTCGTGTGGCTCTTCCGGCCGCGGCCGCCGGTGCTTCTTCCTTGATGCCCTTGCCGCCGCCCTTGCCCCCGACCTTCTTGTCTTTCTCCCGTCCGGCATTCTCTTTGGTGCTCTTCTTGCCGTTGCCAACCGATTTCACGGGCACCTCCTCCTCCTTCTCCTGCGAGGAAAGGACGATCGGGCTGCCACCGCCACCGCTCTTCCCCTTGCCCTTGCCCTTGCCCTTGCCCTTGCCCTTGCTCTTGGTTTTTGAGCCGGCGCCTCGTGTACCCACCCGGGCAGGACTCGCTTCTTCGACGTCGACGACCTCCTCACCGCTTCTGCCCATCGTCCGCCCGTCTATTCTTGTATCCTTGCCCCTCTTTTTGGAGCTAGCGGGCTGCATGCTGAACTCCTCGTCACTGTCGTCATCATCATCATCATCGTCCGAGGAAGAAGGGCCCGGCGATTCCGGTTCTGACCCGACTGCCGCCGTTTTTCTACGCTTGCCGCTGCCGGGGTCCTTGTCGGCAACCGCCTTGCCCTTCTGCGCCCTTGAAGACCGCCTGACCGGCTCGTCATTCTGCTCTTCCTCGCCATCCCCATCTACCGCCGCTGCAGCCTCTGTTCTCGCAGAAGCTTTGCTTCGTCTCGCCCTCTTGCGTCCGGCGGGCCTCCCATCCTCCTCCTCCTCTTCCTCCGGCTGAGACTTGCCCCTGAGTCGTCTCTTCTTGCTCGCAGAAGCCACTGCGTGGCCATCAGCACGCGAAGAGGCTTCGGCATCATCTTCGTCATCGTCGGTTCCGGAGGCGTTTGCCACCGACTTTCGTCTCCCCGACTTCCGGGTGTTGCGGCTGCTGCCGCCGCCATTGGCAAACGTCGCCGCCCCCACCGACGCTGGAGCGCTTTTCTGTTTCCCTTTTTTTTTCTTTTTTGAGCCGCTGCCGCCGCCGCCGCCGTCGACGTCTTGCTCGTCCTCGGAGTCGACGATAAAACTACCCAGGCCGTCGTCTGAGTCCGAAGAGTCTCCAACCTCGTCTCCTGACGGCGGGGGCTCCTTGACTAATAGCCTGCTCTCTCGAGAGCGGCCAGTCGGACAGAATAGGACGGAGAACCCGAAGATTAAGGTTTGATAAATATTCCCTAAACGGCCAACCCGCAGCAGCAACCTCCAGATGTAAAAATCAAACATTTTGCCGGTGCACGGAAGAGCTGCACAATAATGAAGATGACGTATAGCGTGGTGTTTTTTTTCCAACAGCTGACGTATGGTGCTCCTTTAAACACCCGCCCGGCCGCACCCCCCGGTAGAGGGAGGTGCCGAAAGTCACTCATGTTGCATGGTTTGTTCGCTTAGGGCGGGGATGGCGAATTCGCACCCGTGTGCATCAAAACCATTGAACGACTCAAAAGAACTCCGTCAAACAGTGCCAACTCGGCGGGCATTGTGAAATGTGTCTTCGCCCGAACGCAACACGCCTGCCTGCTAATCCTCACCGTATGGATAACCGACTTGAGTGTGTCGCTGCCCCCGGAGCGACACAAAGGGGTTTTACCGAAATTGTTGTCGCTCTTTTACATCTTGTACTTGCCTGCTTGCGGTCCTCGAACGAGCGCCTCGGCCCCAGGTTTCGTGGAACTGCAGCTGCACCAGCGAGGAGCGTTTAGCACCGCTCGCGTCACCACCGTCACCGTCGCTCAACTCGTGGTCCTAGAGCAGCAGTAGCAGCAATTGGTAATCCAGAAAGAGGCGCGGGGCGTTTCAACGTCATTTGGACGGGTGTGAGCTTCGCTGGTGCGTGTTGGGCGTGAGTCGTTGCGGCCGTACCGCTTCCCGGACCACGGCACTGCTGGAATTTGAGCATAGCGTATCGGCAAAATCACGCGCGTCGCGTGCTTGCTAGTCCAATAGACCGTACAGCAGAACCACACAATGGTTGCATATGGTGGAGAACTACATCGGTGTACACAAAAAAGGTTCATGTTGTCCAACCCTATCGCCTCACACGCGGTTCTCGGTGTCGGTAGGTGACCAACCCCCCCCCCCGGGAATGCTTGATATGGTGGCCCTGCCCTCGTTCAACGGTAATACTCCTGCGCTTGGTTTAGATGGCTACAACAGCCCAACAGCTACCCCCCCTCACCGAATCCTCCTCGAGCTTGGACCACCTCTCCGCCAGCTGCCGGCGGCGCTTCCGCTCTGCCTCATCGTCCTCATCGTCCTCCTGCTCGTCGCCGCCTGCGTTACCCCCGCGGTTCGCATCGCAGGCCATGTGGAGTTGGTCGTTGACGCAATACCCAGCCTACCGTGTCTTCCGTGCACACATGCACGCTAGAGATGGCTATCTTGAAGAGGGAATAAGCTGCAATCCGCAGTTTCAAAGGGGGATACTGTTTACGTGAAGCGCCCGACTCTTCACTCTGTTAGATGGGTACAGGCATCAAGGTTTCGGTCAACCTCCGTCTCACCCCCGGCGCTCTCCCCCCCTGCGTCTGCAACTCCGAACAATCCTCCACCGCCGCTGCCGTCGGCATCACCGCCTTCGTCGTCGTCCTCGTCGGCAGCTATGATCTTCATGCTGCGGCGGGACTTGCTGGGACGCGCCTGCTCGGTCGTCGGAGGCAATACATGCGGCGTAACCGAAACCTCCCCCGACCCCTGCTCTCTGACCGCCGCCTGTTATTTCCCGCACGTACATACGACGGACGAAACGACAGAGAACGAAAATACTACTTACTGCGACTAGGGTATCAGATACGTACTAAAGTGAGAAATATACTCGCTCACGCCCGCAACATTAACAAGAATCGTCCGCCTGGTTCCCGCGCGTACCCGACAGACGAAACGGACGAACGATGGTTTATTGCGACCAGGCTGTCCGATAATGGGCAATGTCTGTTCGCGTCCGGAAGTTGAAATAAGATAGACTCGAATTGCATATTTTTCATGTCTAGTGGAGTGGTCTCATTGTGGGCATTTGGGCGAACTTCGATTTCAGCAGCGGGGTTTTGACCCTTCCGTTCCGGACAGGCGGAGTCGATCGTTGTTGTCGGCGCCATACAGAGGCTCGCGCGTTTGCACTGCAGCTGTGGTTCGATTTGCGCAAAGAGACAGAGGCTGAGGGCGGCAACTTCCGGGAACGCTCCCCGATGTACAATAAAATTACCTGTAGTCAAACAAGATCGCCACAAAACCTCAGCAACCACGCCAGCTGTAGTACTTCTTTTTGGAGCCGTCCGGTTCCCAACAGGTACATGTTGAAGGTATTCCATCCGGCCTGCATCTGGAGGTTGTCTATCCATGTCCTTGACCTATCGGACGTGCTGTGCCGATCCAACGTCGTGTAGCACACCGGCATCATGCGCAGTAACCCAGGAGAGTGCCCACTCGGGCCGCTTCAACTAGATCTTCCCCCCGAACATATTGGCGCACGTGAACTAATGCCAGGAGATAGACTTACAGCATTCCAGTGGCTTTGGAACTACCGAGCCACAAAAGTGAAAAGGACGATTTCGCTCCTATGCGAGAGAGGTCGAATCGGGCGGGTGTTGCCGGACGTCGGATATTTATAAGAGACGTACGTGACAACAGATACCGCAAACCCTGGCTGGACCAATCTTCCAAAGCTCGGTTACTCCACAGCGGGAAGAGTGACGGCGCCGATAATGGCGGCGTTGGAACCGTGTCGTCGAGATCTTTCCGTCACCACTTCATTGGATTTTGGCATCCCCTTCGCCGTAGAGCAGCCGAGCTTTTCAAAATCTCCACAGGGGATGTGGTGTCTTGTGTCACCGACGCGGTAGTAACGGCTGGCGGAATGACCTTGTCATATACTGCCGTCATATTTTGAGCGACAAAGAGTACCTCTTCTTGTACGCCGGCTCAACGGGAATGGGCACCTTCCGCCAGTCTCGTGTTGCGCGGCTCGAGTGATAGAAATTCCCAACGAAAAGGCCGGTCGTACTGCTGTTTAAACGGTACAACAACACTCCTTCTGGCTGTGTAGAACTTGACGGGGTGGAGGAGGAGAGCGATATCGACAAATTCGTGAAACAGCGGTAGTGGTCTACACCGTACGCCAGAGGGGCTTCTGAAACATCGATGCACGGTCGAGCTGCATGAAACAATCCCTTGTAACTTCTGCACCATACAAACGAGCACTGCCAGAGTGCAACCGATAATGTGGGGGAGCGTTCCAACGCAGGTCATGCAAGCGAGATGTCGACCAGATGGAGCCACCAAAATTTAAATTTAGATGTTTGAAAAATGAAGCGGGTCATTCACATGCACGCTCACATCATCTTCATCGTCAGATTCCAGCATCACGCGGCGACGCCTTCCGGCCGACATATCTGTAACGCTTCTGCTGCGAAAAATTAGAAGTCCCTGCCGACAGCAGTAGCACCACCCTGTCGCGCACGGTGCGGTGGGTCGGTCGATGTCGATGAGGCATGGGGGGGTACGCAGGTAGGATTTGCGGGATGAAAAATATTTGACGTACGCACGAGAAACTACGTCTCCCCTCAGTCGCCGGCAACCGGCAGCCGGCAGCCGGCAAAGCACACAGCACCTGCACTGCTGTGCGTTCGTCGGAGCTGCACGAGCTCCCGTGTGGGATCATGGGTGCGGGAAATAATGCTGTGAGTGGGCTGCATGAAAGCGTAGCCGAATGAAATTGCCTTGACCCACGGCTGGCGGTAATTGCGCCTATAGATCCGAATGAACTGACCGACGTTTTTGCGGTACATAACGCGCACGTTGCTCATGTCCCTCGTGATCGACGACAGACTGCTGCTTGTCCCACGATGATGTCACGCTTCCGAGTACCGAACCAGACTGGGAAACAGAGAAGTATGCCAAGATGCATGCGTTATACCCACTAATTGTTGGGCACAGCATAGCCAGAATGCAGTGTCAAGCTGTGTCGCGCTCAAGCCCCCTAGACTAGTCTACGTGTGGCACGCAACAAGTACGTTGGTTGCGGGGTGATCACGTAACTACTACTGCTGCACTGATGAAAGGTGCGGGTTTTCCAGGAAAGTCAAGATGAACTGCTGTGTTGCTGTGTTGCTGTGACCAAACACAACATATCACTTGAATACCACTAATCAAGGACTTCTGTGTTGCGGCTAAGGGGTATTCCTAACGACCAAGAGATCACGGAACATTTCACGGAATCGTTTGTTTTTTAACATATGTAAAGGCGTTTTTCCCCGAAAACGTGAAAAGCAGGAGCCGGGGTTTGGGGCTTGCTACTTTCACGGATCCGTGTTTTTGACAGAAGCATCGGACCAGCGCACCGCGGGCGCTGTAACATCACTGAGAACGCTAGAAAGACCTGCCAGACTCACGTACGTCCAGGTCTGTTGTGGAGATGGACAAGCGGCAGAAGCGGCGTTCAGTCCGTTCTTGGTCAAAAACTAGACATTGCGTAGTGCTCTCGGCTTCAACTGCTACTACTGTTGGTGCTGGTGAATTTTTTTCAATCACACATAGCAAGCACGGAAACTGTAGAGCGAGTACAGCAGCAGCACCAAGACCTCCAACGCGCTGATTCCTTCGGTTCGGCTGTCTATATGATACCATCTCCCGGTGCCGTGCTGCTTCGTGGGTAATGGGTGCTCGGGTGCTGCTCAGTAAGGTGTGTGAGAGACGTGTGCCACCTCACCAAAATGCCGTTGGAAAAATGCGGCGAGATGATCTGTTTTTGGTCGGACACGTCAACATCAATCCACGGCACCACCCAGCAGTAGAGCAACAGGGCCTCCGACACGCTAAATCTTTCGGATTGGCCATCTATATGATGCTCGCGGCTGCCGCCCTCTGATTGTTGAGCTCGTCTACCTTTGGGCAGGTGGTGGTCAAAGATGGGAGTCGCGACCGTGAAAAGTGAGCTGGCAAACTGAACAAATCGCAAGCAACACCCAGGTTGCGACAATCTGCCCTGCGCCTGTTGTTGCTGAAAATTGACAACAGCAGGCCGGGTGGATAGGATCTTTTTAAGTGTGCTGCCCTCGGTGTCGGGTGCTGCTCATTGCGCTTTCACCGCTGCTCTATGGTGAGCAACACCAAGTCAACCTGTTGTGTGCCGAGCAAAGCGTGTTTTCAGGGGAGGAAACGTACTTTTTGCGATGACATCACGAATAGAACAAGCGAAAAAAAGTCGGGTTATCTTTTCACTGTTCCGTGGAAAATTGCA